GCAGATCTAAAATTCTAAATTTCAAAAGCTGATCGATTGTTTTTTGAAAATGATCTTTCAGGCATATTAAGAAATGGTATTTTATAACCATTTTTAATTATATCAAGAATATAAGAATTGCAACCAATGTCATTCCAATAAGAAAAGTGCTTCTTTAAACGACTTTTAACACAGGTATTGTTTTCTGCTGGTGAAAATAAAGTTTCTTGATATTCAAAGAACTCTCTTTCAAGGGCATTGAAAAAAATACTTATCATTTATCTGTTCGTTTATCTGCGGAGCTTTCTGAACTTGAGCTTCTTTTGAAGTTGTCCGGTTTGTAAAGCTCTTCGTTGAATTTGACCAGAATCTACACTCATGGCGGAAATGTCCTCGCTGTCCGCATGCGAAGCAAATATCTCTGATGGAGCTTTGTCGTGATGTGCCACGAAAGGAATAAGCCGGTTTTCCCCATTGAACAGTATCGGAAGGCGATTCTCTCGGCATGAAAGTAGAAACAGTACGTTTATAAGGATTGAAAGAAGGTTTACTAGTAGAAGTGGTTGCTTTGATTTTCCGTACAGCCCTGGCTTCCGCCTGTTTAAGGCGCTTTTCGTCCTCACTATCTGATCCAAGAACTGGCTTTTCATATTCATTGACGGTAAGCCAGCCCCCGGGGGAACTATCAGCTACTTTAATTAACTTATTTCTATGTTTGACCTTGGAAATAACACTGGACACTATCTCGAAAATTTCGGCAGGAATACGAAATTTATCGTCAGCAACCACTTCTAAACTGCGAAGAATATCAAGATTAAACTCATACTGAATACGATTAGCTTCTTTCTTGAACTTGACTGAAGGAGTATCATGTAATTTTAAATTCAAGTCCTTTTTAAAGTCCTTCAACTGAGTATCAAGATAATCTCTAAATAAAGAAAACGCTTCAATTGCTGAATCCCCCGGGGACTTACCTCCAGATTCTGGATAGCTAGCTCTATGTCCCCAATATTCTCTCTCCAACGTAATTTCCTGATGATGTGAACGCCCAATATGGCTGCTCGAACTATCTTCCATGACTAAACTAACCAGTTTAGTTTAACTGCCTGTATCTGACCTCAAAGTGACTTTAACACGTTACAACCCGGTTTATATATAAACCGCTTCCCGTTATAATTACCATATTTGGTAATTTCTCATGCAAAACATGACTCAGGGCTCACACTGGCTCAAATAAAATAATAGCCAATATTTTCAACTTAAAAAAATAATAGCCAAAAGTTCAGCGGACTTTTCACGAATTAGCGATTAACAACATAAGCACTTGATTTAATAAACATTACATTTATATAAAACTTTTTCAGTTTTATAATGATTCTCAAATAAACTGATACATTTAACTACCTTTTTTTAGAACTACAACTTTAATTGTTATTTTAGTAAAATTACTGTATAACAATAATATTAAAGATTTATTATAACTTTACATAATGTTGTTATCAGACAACTTCTTTTGTTTGTTCTAATCAAATTTTGTCAGCTATAACCACTGTCTATTTCCACATTTCACACAGAACTGGAGTAGATCTAGGTCATATTAGCCTATAGAAATAACACAAGTTTGCAAACTCATTCACAGAATGCAGCCTTTTTACTGAATAATTTACTGAAAAATATCATCATCACATACAATTTTTCTGCCATAGTAGTAAAGATTTTTAAACAAAACATAGCTTATTTCACCTTTGAATAAATATCAAAATTATCGGTGTCGCGAAAATATGTGACAATCGGATTTTTCCTGTTTTCTGAAGAAATATTCACAATTTTGGTTGTTGTGCAAATAGTTGTTTGGAAGTTAATACTTTTTAAATATTTTACCATTGTTTTCCACTGGCGATTTAGTCAAGTAGCTTAAACCAAAAAAAAATCAAAATTTACAATAATTACTTGTCTTCAATTCACGGTAAATTTTGGGTAAGTCAATATCCAGTTTATCAATTTTAAAACGATTTTTGTGGCTAATTGACGGATATTTGATGGCTTTTACAAATTCTGGACAATATCTTTAAAGTACTTATACAATTATACATCCCGTATGTCTTTTATCACCTCGGGCAATATAGTAAACAGCACGTGACCCGTAAAAAGTTGACACTCAATTAAATGCACCCCGCTGGTGTTAATTAGGTCTACTGCATTCTTTATCGATTTTTACACCTTTTATAAACACTGTTGGAAGTAAAAAATAATCGCCAGACTTTGTAGCCAAAATGCAAAAAAAATCGCCAATCTTATAAAATAATCGCAAATGGCGACTATGGCGACCGACAGCGTGAGCCCTGCATGACTTCAGTTATAACATAGAACAATAATAAATATATTTATCAGTGAAGATATATACCTAAGAATGATGTTTATATAATCATTTAATGCCAGAAAGTTTTATCATATCTCCTTACAGGGGTTAAAGCTTTCTTTTGACAGATTAGGAAAAGCACAGTAACAATTGGTATTTTTACAAATAAGAAGAAAAAACTTGATGTAAATTAAATTTTAGAGGACATTTTACTGGATGATTTTAAATAATTTTCTTTTGGAAGGGGACAATTGTTAAATGGCATATGCATGCCCTTACAATATCAGTCTGTCAGTCCGTAACATTTTTCATGCCTGCTCAATAACTTTTAAACTAATGAAAAGTTTTGGAAATAACTTGGCACAAATGATCACAATTATATCAGGTGTCAACCCTCATGGTCAAGATCACACATGATTTTCAAATGTAAAAAGATTCTGCATTTTGTGTCAGCTTCATGACTTTAAAAATAATTAAAATAAATTAAAATTAAGCTTGGCACAAATGATCACAATTATTAGATGATGTGCAGAGTGCGATAACTGGGTCTGTCAAACCTCCTAGGTCAAGGTCAGTCTTAAAGATCAAGTGTAAAAATGTCAGCATATCTTGACCACTCCATAACTATAAAGCTATTGAAATGTTTTTAAAATACCTTAGCACAAATGATCATCATTATAAGACAATATGCAGAGTTCAAAAATTAGGTCAAGGTCACAAGGAAAAATGTAAAAGTCTTCATTTTTGTCCACTTCATAACATGTAAACTGCTTAAAAGTTTTAAAATCATATAGAACAAACAACCATTATTATGAGATGATGCACAGAGCTGAAATACCAGGTGGCTTCTTCAAGGTCATACTTAAAGTTCAGTCAAAGGTTGTTCTGCAACAGGGATATAGCCCTTCCTCATTATAACTGCCTTGTTCATATTTATGCCAAGAAGTAACCTGTGGTCATCAGTTTAGGTACAGTTGTATAGGTTCCTCACTGGCATTTGTTTGAAAAGAATATGTAAAAAAAACCCCAGCTAAACAAACAGATTCTGAAAGAAAGCTAATCAAAAGAGTTCAAGGGGATCCAGCTGTTTTATTTAAGTTCTCGGTGAAGCACATTTTATATTATAAATTTTTATTTGCTAAGATTAACAAGCAGATGTAAGCATGCAGATCTGTTAATACAATTCATTGATCAGGTGATAAATATTGACTTCCTTTACTTTTATCTCTAGAAATTGGTGTAATTATATTTTTTATAACCTGGTAATTTATTCAAGACCTACCAGTCTGCCAAATATCATTCATCTTGGGGTTAATGCTTCCCACAGTGTATTTGAAAAATAAATCGTATTTAGAAAATGTCCCTTTAAGATAATAAAAATAATGTATTTGCACTTAACAATGATTTGACAGTAACGTTGTATCCTTAAGCTCCAATGTAAAAGAAAAATTTAAAAAAAAAAAAAGTCATTTTTTTTTCCTCAAAATTAGTCTCAGATGAGCAGTTATAGACTTTTTAGTAGGGATGGCAACGAATACCAAAATCAATACTCAAGTACTCGGTCATTTTTCCGATCGAGTACTCGGTTACTCGGATGATTTCCAATGATCTTTAAAGTTTTATCACACAATATCAACACCGTCTGCATGCTACTTTCATTTTCTTTTTTAATTCATAGAATTAGTAACTATAAATAGGACTGCAAGAAATACATATATAAATATAAACTTAAGAAATGTCAATGACAGCATTTATTATATACCTACACATTTTCTCCCTAAAATGCAGGATGACTTTGAAGCGCAAATACGCTTCAACGGATAGAAAATTCAATATTATGTTATTCATATATGGAAGTGCCGGACTATTTTTGACGATGGTTCCGATCTTAGCTGTATATAGTGTAGCATTTTGAAACGGAAACCAAAATTATAAAAGGCGTGGCCGGTTTTGCAAAAATTACGTATTCATCCGTCGGTCATAAATTTATTTCTTGACAGCTACATTTCATTTTCTGAAATTTCTTATAGAAGTGTAGTATAATGAAAATCATTTATAATTCAAACGAAAAGGTATATAATAAAAGGAAAATTATGTTGTAGCCTATGCATTTTTCTACTCGCTATGTTGGAAAATTGATATTTCGCTCGACCTTCGGTCTCGTGAGATATCAATTTTTCCACCGCTGCTCGTAGCAAAATACAAAGCTACAACATAATATTCCGTATATATTTACGTTTTTATAATTAACAAGTTTCGGCTTCAAACTGTCTAATATTTAAAGGTGATTAAATATCATAAGAGGCCGAATGACATAAATGACACAGGACTGTGTTTAATCCCATACCCGTGTCGAACTGATCGCCTCGTTAAACTTACGATAACATTTTCACACCTCTGCAAGGATGTTTTGATTGCACTTAACAAGTATTTATACAGATACGTGTACATTTTTGAATTTCTGAACTAATCTTTCTAAATCGCAAAAAAAGTAGAAATTTTAATTATTTTTTTACGAGTAATCGAATATCAATTTTGTTAACCGATATTCGGACGTTCGATCGAGTACTCGGTTAACCGGTTACTCGTTGCCATCCCTACTTTTAACACTAAGGAACTTAAATTTATTTAACTTCATTTCTGTTTGCTTGTTTCTTTCAGGATATTTCCAAGAAAATAAAAGACTATGGTGAGAAGACAAGGTTCAGGAAGAGAATAGTTTCCAAATGGGAGGTATGTTTATTGTGTAAATACTTGTTGTGTTGCTGCATGTATAGTCAATTTCTACATTCTTAATTTGTAAGGTGTGCAAGCTGGTTTAGCTTACTGAAATAAAGCAGTCAACAGATGTGCAAGTTAGTCTGGCTCACTAAAATAGAGTAGCCAGCAGATGTGGAAGTTAGTCTGGCTCCCTCAAGTAGAGCAGTCAACAGATGTGCAAGTTATTCTAGTTTCACTAAAATAGAGCAGTCAACAAATGTGCAAGTTAGTCTGGCTCACTCAAATAGAGCAGCCAGCAGATGTGCAAGTTAGTCAAGTTCACTTAAATAGAGCAGTTAACAGATGTGCAAGTTAGTCTGGCTCACTCAAATAGAGCAGTCAACAGATGTGCAAGTTAGCTTGGCTCACTCAAATAGAGCAGCCAGCAGATGTGCAAGTTAGTCTAGTTCACTGAAATAGAGCAGTCAACAGGTGTGCAAGTTAGTCTGGCTCACTCAAATAGCACAGTCAACAGATGTGCAAGTTAGTCTAGTTCACTAAAATAGAGCAGTAAACAGATGTGCACGTTAGTCTGGCTCACTCAAATAGAGCAGCCAGCAGATGTGCAAGTTAGTCTAGTTCACTAAAATAGAGCAGTCAACAGATGTGCAAGTTAGTCTGGCTTACTCAAATAGAGCAGCCAGCAGATGTGCAAGTTAGTCTAGTTCACTAAAATAGAGCAGTCAACAGCTGTGCAAGTTAGTCTGACTCACTGAAATAGAGCAGTCAACAGGTGTGCAAGTTAGTCTGGCCCACTCAAATAGAGCAGTCAGCAGATGTGCAAGTTAGTCTAGTTCACTAAAATAGAGCAGTCAGCAGATGTGCAAGTTAGTCTGACTCACTGAAATAGAGCAGTCAACAGGTGTGCAAGTTAGTCTGGCCCACTCAAATAGAGCAGTCAGCAGATGTGCAAGTTAGTCTAGTTCACTAAAATAGAGCAGTCAGCAGATGTGCAAGTTAGTCTGGCTCACTCAAATAGAGCAGTCAACAGCTTTGCAAGTTAGTCTGGCTTACTCAAATAGAGCAGCCAGCAGATGTGCAAGTTAGTCTAGTTCACTAAAATAGAGCAGTCAACAGACATGCAAGTTAGACTAGTTCACTAAAATAAAGCAGCCAGCAGATGTGCAAGTTAGTCTGGCTCACTCAAATAGAGCAGTCAACAGTTGTGCAAGTTAGTCTGGCTTACTCAAATAGAGCAGCCAGCAGATGTGCAAGTTATTCTAGTTCACTAAAATAGAGCAGTCAACAGATGTGCAAGTTAGTCTGGCTCACTCAAATAGAGCAGCCAGCAGATGTGCAAGTTATTCTAGTTCACTAAAATAGAGCAGTCAACATCTGGCTCACTCAAATAGAGCAGTCAACAGCTGTGCAAGTTAGTCTGGCTTACTCAAATAGAGCAGCCAGCAGATGTGCAAGTTAGTCTAGTTCACTAAAATAGAGCAGTCAATAGGTGTGCAAGTTAGTCTGGCTCACTCAAATAGAGCAGCCAGCAGATGTGCAAGTTAGTCTGGTTCACTAAAATAATGTGCATGTTAGTCTGGCTTACTCAAATAGAGCAACCAGTAGTTGTGCAAGCAGAGCTGACTTAAAATAGTGCAGCATGCAAATGTGAAGTTAGCTTGGCTCACTAGAGAAGCCAACAGATGTGTAAACTCATTTGACTCACTTTTTAGCTCACCTGTCGCAAAGTGACAGGGTGAGCTTTTGTGATCGCTTTTCGTCCGGCGTCCGTCCGTCCGTCGTCCGTCCGTCCGTAAACTTTTGCTTCAAATGACATCTCCTCATAAACCACTAAGCCAATTTCATCCAAACTTCACAGGAATGTTCCTTTGGTGGTCACCTTTAAAAATTGTTCAAAGAATTTAATTCCATGCAGAACTCTGGTTGCCATGGCAACCGAAAGAAAAAACTTTAAATATCTTCTTTTAAAAAACCCAAAGAGCTAGAGCTTAGATATTTGGCATGAAACATCTTCTAGTAAGTGTCTACCAAGTTTGTTCAAATAAAAGCCCTGGGGTCAAAATTGGCCCCGCCCCAGGGGGTCATTGATTTTCCCTATATACATATAGTAAAAACTTAAAAATTCTTCTTTTAAAGAACCCATGGAGCTAGAGCTAAGATATTTAGCATGAAACATCATCTAGTAAGTGTCTACCAAGTTTGTTCAAATAAAAGCCCTAGGGTCAAAATTGGCCCCGCCCAAGGGGGTCATTGATTTTCCCTATATGCATATAGTAAAAAGTTAAAAAATCTTCTTTTAAAGAACCTATAGAGCTAGAGCTAAGATATCTAGCATGAAACATCTTCTAATAAGTGTCTACAAAGTTTGTTCAAATAAAAGCCCTTGGGTCAAAATTGGCCCCGCCCCAGGGGGTCATTGATTTTCCCTATATGCATATAGTAAAAACTTAAAAAATCTTCTTTTAAAGAACCCAAAGAGCAAGAGCTAAGATATTTAGCATGAAACATGTTCTAATGGGTGTCTACAAAGTTTGTTCAAATAAAAGTCCTGGGGTCAAAAGTGGCCCCGCCCTGGGGGTCATTGATTTTCCCTATATGCATATAGTAAAAACTTAAAAAATTTTCTTTTATTTTAAGAACCCATAGAGCTAGAGCTAAGATATTTAGCATGAAACATCTTCTAATAAGTGTCTACCAAGTTTGTTCAAATAAAAGCCCTGGGGTCAAAATTGGCCCCACCCCAGGGGGTCATTGATTTTCCCTATATACATATAGTAAAAAGTTAAAAAATCTTCTTTTAAAGAACCTATAGAGCTAGAGCTAAGATATCTAGCATGAAACATCTTCTAATAAGTGTCTACAAAGTTTGTTCAAATAAAAGCCCTTGGGTCAAAATTGGCCCCGCCCCAGGGGGTCATTGATTTTCCCTATATGCATATAGTAAAAACTTAAAAAATCTTCTTTTAAAGAACTCAAAGAGCTATGGCTAAGATATTTAGCATCAAACATGTTCTAATAAGTGTCTACCAAGTTTGTTCAAATAAAAGCCCTGGGGTCAAAATTGGCACCGCCTCGGGGGTCATTGATTTTTCTTATATGTGTATAGCAAAAACTTAAAAAATCTTCTTTTAAAAAACCCAAATAGCTAGAGTTTAGATATTAAGCATGAAACATCTTCTAGTGAGTGTCTACAAAGTTTGTTCAAATAAAAGTCCTGGGGTCAAAATTGGCCCCGCCCTGGGGGTCATTGATTTTCCTTATATGTGTATGGCAAAAACTTAAAAATCTTCTTTGAAAAAACCCAAATAGCTAGAGTTTAGATATTAAGCATGAAGCATCTTCTAGTAAGTGCTAACAAAGTTTGTTCAAATAACAGCCCTGGGGCTAAAACTGGCCCCGCCCCAGAGGTATCATTGTTTTTAACTATATGTGTATAGTAAAAACTTAAAAAATCTTCTTTTAAAAATCCCAATGAGCTAGAGGTTAGATTGCATGAAACATCTTTTTGTGGGTGTCTACCAAGTTTGTTCAAATAAAAGCCCTTGGGTTAAAATTGGCCCTGCCAAAGGGGGGGGGGAGGTCATTGTTTTTCATTATATGTGTGTAGTAAAAACTTAACATCATGAAACATCTTCTAATGAGTGTCTTCCAAGTTTGTTCAAATAAAAGCCCTGGGGTTTAAACTAGCCCCGCTCCGGGGGGGGGGGGGGCCTAAATACAGGTGAGCGACCTCAGGGCCATCATGGCCCTCTTGTATAAAGCAGCCAAGAGATATGCAAGCTGGCCAGGCTCTAATCTGGTTTATGTTTGTCTTAGAGTTGAAGTTGAACTTTAATGTCTATAACACCAAAGTGAAGCAAGATTTTCTGTATATAGGATTTTAATTATGTTATGTTGCAATATGATCTGAATTGACTGTTGACTGTAGAATTTACAATTTATATTGGCAAAAAAGGAAATCTATAAAATGTAGAATGATTAAAGATAGCTGTCAGATACAGACATAACATTATCAATGTTTTAAATCTTTGTAGTCTAGATTTCTGCTTAAATATTGATATTAATGTATTTTGAAGAAACAGTTATATCATGTCACTGATAAAATTGTAGTTAAAGGTTTAGACAAAGATATGGTTGTCTAAATAGTTAGAGCTTTAATTTTGCTGTAAGTTATATGATATTATTCTTACCATTATTTTATTACAAATGCAGTTTTAGAAGCATAAATTGTATTTCTTTAATGCCGTTCACCACTCTGGGTTTGAATCTTGCAAGGAACTCTGGATTGTTTCATGTGAGGAAGCTAACTAGCTAGTTTATAGAATATTAATGGTTCTACTTAGGGGACAGGTTTGTGCCTGAAATAATGCATGGAGGGGTTTCTGAGGTCCTCCTCCACCAGAAAGGCTGTAAAGTTGCCAAATGGTCTTTGCAATGGTGGTTTGGGGTAAAAACCAATCTAAACAATAAATTTCTTTGCTGATAGAAATATGCTGGTGTATGAATTAGTTGTTTATCAATGAATTTTACCTGATGTAACTTAACTTGTAAAAATGTCCAGGATGTAGTTCCTACATTTTCATGATAAATCCTAAGTCTCAAGAGTTTCATAGTCTGCCTTAATATTTGTTAACTGTTCAATTATCCGTTCATTTTCATATTTCTACAGATTGAATGTGATGTTAGGGATGGATTACATCTTCAGAACAGTATTGAACAAGTATTATAGTATCATATAATTATGTTTTTGTTTTCAGAGTCTCAATTATGACACAATAGAGAATGACCTACATTGGCAGGAAAAAGATAAACCGAATATAAAGGTAAAGCTTTTTGTAATCATTCTAGAATATTATATTTTTATCCTGCATGATTCCATTTTAGCAACCTATACAATTATATAGTACATATATATACAAATAGTTAAAAATATATAGAAATATATTTACAAAATTAATATAAATATATAGAAATATACAAAATAAATAGAATGTAACATTTTGTTTCTACCTGTTATCATATACATATAATATATATTAATTATCAACATCATTATTTAACATCTATATAATATATCTATATATATAGAAAATATTATAAAACAAGATATTTGTAAGTAGAAAGCAGGGATCTAAAATTCCACTTGTTTGCTTGTATTTACTTGTAGAATCAAAGAGAATTTGCAGAATAACAATCTGGAGGCATGCTGCTTTAAAACAAGAAAACTAAATGTTTTATTGCTTTTACCATTAATATGTGATTTTATTGATATACTATCACCTTTATTTTAGTTCTCAATTGCTGTTTCATTAGATAATTATGAAAAGAATGATGTAAAACAGATATTACCCTAATCAAAATTTCAGTAGGTATTCAAAAGTGATATGTACTCAAGTGTAAAGTGGAATTTTAGCAGAAATAGAGTTTTAACAGTTAACAGTTCAGTCTGAAATCCAGTGCAGTGTAATTATGTTTGAAATGTTTGACATTGGCAGATACCTATAAATTAACTGTGAATTAAAGTATTTAGAATATTTTGTACATATCTGAAGTTAATTTTGCGTGGGATTTCCAGAGATTGATGTGACAATTCACAGAGATGGAATTCTCTTACCATAATTTTTAGATTGATGAGTAGAATTGTAGCTTAACAGGATTTGTTTAGAAATTAACAGTTTTAATGTATTATAATTATATACTTGTGCTCCTAAATTTTGATCAACAGGCATAATCTTATCTTTTTTAATTGTCGAAATTTACTGGAAACTTGAGGACTTTAGTTTAATTTTTTTTCTAAGCAATTGTTGCATGTGGTAACATACATTAATTTCAAATAATTTTGATTATTGTATTTTAAAACATAAATTTCCATTTATTGTATGTAGTACTTTATTGTATACTGGTAGAGTGTTTTATGAGATTATATTATTCAACCTGGGGGTGCTTGCTTTTTATTATATACTGTATACTATATCAGTTTTTGTTTATAGCCAAAGATAAAGCATGTCTGACAAGATATTCAAATTGGCTTTGTTCCCCATTTATCACTCACAAAACGTCCTCAATGATTGAAATTTTCTTTAAAAACCCCAAAAAACCCACATCACTACCTCATTCTGGAATATTATAAGAGATTTATTGGAAAATAATTGGCTTGTTTTTTTATTGAAAAATTGCATGTTTTCCATGAGAAACGTTAAATATCATGTAAGATAATACTACTTTATTGTCTGCAGGTTGGTATTTGAGAGAACAGAAATGAAAGGTTTCTAAGGAATCTGCTGAAAAATCTGTGAACCAGATTTATCTTAATTTAAAGGATTTCTTGAAAACTTTAGTGTTTGATGGGCAAAAGTATCAAACTGTAGTAGCAGAGCTAAACATGTTTAATGTACAATTAATGGAATAATACATGGGTTTTAAGGGGTTTTTTTTCGTGAAGACAGAAAGTTTTAAGAGATAGTACATATATATGTTCAAACAAATGAACCAAAGTAATTAAGTACAGTTGTATTAATAGGGCATTAAATTAAATAAAATGTACAGTAAAAGGCTAAAGATGTATTCTGTGACCAATGGAAGAGAGAAAGTTTATGTTTGCATTTTAATCTATTTAATTGTTTGATTTTCAGAACATATCGGTAATTTTTTTAAGTTTTTTCATTGTGAAAGACTTTTTCATTCTGTTTACAAAGTTTCCTTGTTATTTTTTGTCTTTATTTTAATTGACTGTAAGAATTAAGTGTTTTGACTTATTTTCAGTTGACAAAATATATGTAGACAATAATGAATTGTCACAATACCTACCAAATTTAGCATTAGTTTTGTTCATATACAAAATTGTATATATAAAATTTATGGATTGTTTCGTGTGAGGAAGCCATCCAGCTATGTTATAGAAAGTCAGTTGTTCTAATCAAATGCCCAATGTGCCACTTCCAGTGGTTCATTCTACTTAATGATGTCCGGTTGTGGCTATAAGTCAGATGTCCGGTTGTGCCTTGAGGTGAGTGGTTCTACTCACATGTTCGGTTGTGCCTGTAATAATGCATCGAGGGGCACCTAAGGATTTCCTCTATGAGTAAAACTGAAATATTGTCATAAGACCTTAACAGTATCTGTGTGACATATAAGCCTTACAAACAAAATGTAGGTTATTTATGGAGAAGGTAGAAAATGGTGAAATACCTTAAATATCAATAAAAAAAATATCTGTGCAGTTGGGAAACAGTAATAATTTGCTTTTAAACTAGTTCTGTTGGCTTGTATTAATGAAAATGTTATATTTATTTGGAGATGTGATATAGAGCTTTGAATATTTGACATATCAATTTTTGAAAAGAATACTCTTATAATCTGTACCCCCACCATTGGTTCATGGAGAAAAACTTTAAAACCAATAAAAACTTGGTTTGGCTCAGAACATAGTAGAAGTACTGGCCCTTTGTTGATTTAATTAAAGATAGTATGATGTTGAAATGATACATTGACCCTAAAACCAATTAATAGCTTTGAAACCCCAAAAAGCATCATTTTTTATCTTTAGATAAGTTAATTGTTTTGAATTCAATTTCATTTATTGAAAACTTCTTTTAAGTCTTTATCAGAGTTCAGTTTTCTTTATTTTTACAGATCTGATTTGGTAATTCCTTTTTCTGTGTTTAATTTTATATGTTATAACATTTTACAGGATGATAATTCAAACACTTTTGTTTCAAAAATTAATTCTTTTTCCTACTTTATTTTCATTAACTTAATTTATTTTTATTAACTTAATAAAGTTTAAAGTTGTGTAAAATGGTGTGATTATTAATTTTATTATAATAAATCTAATTAATAAATTCTCATTTAAACACAAATGTAGAGTAATTTTTTTCTAAAGAGCCGGGCACTTGATTACTAGCATCTTTTAAACTACATATAGTTTTATCTCTTCCCATTGGAAATTTAAACTTTTCTAGAGGTAGACTATTTTGCCAATGCTTCAGAACCTTGCGCCTTGCAAACTCATTTAAATTAATGATGTTACTTGATAATTCATATATTTCTTCACCATTTCTTGCAATTTGTTTACTTATAATTGTTTTATCTGCTTGACTTTAAGACTGATTGGTCTTATATTACTACCACCAGCTGTTAATCTTAATTAGTTTATAGTTGTAATTGCCAGCTTCTATAGCCACCAGTTCATTCAAAACCATATCCTCATCATAAGTTAGTCATTCTGTCATGATAGGATGTTGGTTTTGCCTGGAGGAGAAGATGCAGTTCTGTGGCTCAAATGTCAAGGTCACATATTCATAGTGAACTGTCAAAATTGGAGAATATTTTCTCATATCTTCCATATTTGGCTTAAATGATCACTTTTCAAAATCTAACACAGTTCTAACACAGATGTATTCACTATTATTGTAAAGCATCATAATCTTTAGTGACACATCTTGTTGTTCTGTCACTTTATCAAACGTCATAATAGTAATTCTTTTGAGGTTATTTCTTGTAATTTGACAGCAATTAATTTGATGTAGTGTTTTATCTATTTCATCATTTTTCAAGAATTAGTTTTAAGTTTCATTTTAAAAAAACTTAATATAAATTTGAATGGTGAAAATGAATCATTCATATGATTCTCCATGAAATAGTAGAAAAAAATTGATTTATATAAAAGCCTTACATTACAAATATTTATCTCAAGGAATTCTATGTTGAGGAATTAACTTTCAGATTTCCATTTGCATTTTAGGTATAGAGTAGGAAATTGGAGATTAATTAATAATGCATTAATGTCCATAGATTTATTCACAGTTATTATTTGTCATGATACTTTAAAATAACTCAGTATTATTTGTCTTGGCTGACATATTGTATTTATACACTTTTAGTGTAAGATGTATAATAGTAGATGAGAAAATGATATAGCCCGACATGTGTCCAACATTTCATGCCTTATATAGAGTGTGTTAACTTACTATGTTTCGCCAATTTCATGACCTATCTCTATATCTGGTTATTGCATACTTACGTCAGAGACAAGACAATTTATAGTGATACCTAAATTTACATATAGTGTATTAATTGTTCAATAATGATGTTTCTGGGAGTATTTATTATCAGAAGTGCATTATCAAGTGTCATTATGGTGCCTAATGTTGTTGTGTTTGTAAGTCACTAGAGGTTAAATGATCTTGATGCTTTGTCAGTAAAAATGAAAATGTACTATATTGACCTGAAATATTAATGCTCTTCGTTATATAGAGTTGCTGAAATTAAATGAAGCTCACTGTTTTATCAATATTGCAAAACATACAAGCCTAATATGTACATAAACATAAGGACTGGTGTACTATTGCAGTGACTATTGTCACCAGTTGTTGTGAGTCAAAGTAATAAAATGATAACTTTTAATATTCAGTTGAATTATTAAGATATATTCTCTGTCATTGTCACAGAAAAAAATACAAAATTGTCAATGTTTAATGCATACATAATGAAATAAATGTGTTAGCCTCATTTGAAATGATTTAGATTGCTACATTAAAGTAAAGCAATACATACAGGTGGTTTTCTGTCTGTTTTATTCATAACACTAACAGCTTAGACATGTAACACTTTGATAGCAGTCAGTCTTTAGTGCCAAGAACATGTTATAAATGAGGCTACAATCAGATTATAGGCAGACTTACACTCTCAGTGTGAGATAAGTCAGGTAATTGATTTCTCATTTTCACACTTACCAATGTTCTTATTATATAACACTTCCATCTTTACTTCCCCATATATCACATAGAAGTATTGGCAGTCTTAAAATAGTTTCACTGATAACAAATTTGTACTGAATACAACATTTCGTACTCAATATTGATGTCAAAGAATTTTTTTTGATGGATTTATTTCAAGGTTGTTTTTTTAAGTCATCACAGTTTTAGTGATCTTTCCTGTGTGGTGCATTATAGATGTTTGTATTGGAGAAACTCATGTTACAAAGATCACAGAACCAGAACGTGTTCAGGGTGTTTGTCTAATTAAACGTCACAGAAATCATAAAATAGGTCATCATAAACTTAAAACTAGGTCAGTAGGTCAAATTGGTAAAATTGTTCGACAAGATACTGATGTAACTATGTAGGTCACATTTGAAGGTAGGTCAATGGATAAAACCTTATAGTCACAAGTTTTGTCCAATCTTGACACCTTGGTAAGGAAGTTTGAATCTTCTTTCCAGTTTTATTAATTTTTAAAAAGAAAATTAATAGAGTGAAAAAATATTTTTACAGTTTTAAGATACCCGCTGTATATCTTCTTGTCGGATGATATTTTGAGAAATTTAAATAATGAGTTTTAAAAGGTTACTACATGACATACTAGGGTAGCTCACCAGGGTATATTAAATACTAATTACCTTATTATGTTCAATGCAGTTCTTTTAAGTGATATATAACTTAGATAATTATATACTAAATTTTAATAGCTCATTACTCTTCTAATAACAAATAAATAACATTCAAGATTTCAAGTACAGGTGAGATTCAAGTGTTTTCACTTAATTTGAAGTATGTTCACCCACTTATGATAAATCTTGTACTGAATATTGATAACAATTGTATACGACTGTGCTTCTGCCAAAAACAAACTTGGATTGAAATGAAATCATTCAATACTTCATTCCCTTAAGTTAACTATTTATTTTTTACCTTATTTATTCCATGCAGGTTCTGCATAATCTCTGCTACAAAATTTCAATTTTAAGTACATCATTATGATGTTTTGAAATAATATATTTGTAAATTTAAGTAAGCATTTATTGTAAATCAGATTAAATCACTTTGACTTTTGAGTTGGAAGTATCAGTGACTTACAATTAAAATCTTGTTCAAAGCTATTAGTGACTTAAGATGTTGATCTAACTCACTGTAGTTAAAATTAATAATTTACTCAATGTAGAAAGTTTTAGATACTGTCATTTAGATATAAGGCTTATAATAACTGGGATTTTTTTTATCTTCCTTGAAGTTAGGAAATTTTATTAGTCCCCTACCGGTTTACCGGAGGGGACTTTAGGTTTACCCTCCGTCCGTCTGTCCGTCCGTCTGTCCGTCCGTCAGTCCGTCCGTCCACAAAACTGGATCCCGCGATAACTTGAAAAGTACTGAAAATATTTTTATGAAACTTGGTATATGGATAGATGGCAGTATGGAGATTATGCACGTCTTTTTCTTTTTTTCCTATGTTGAAAATTCTGGTTGCTATGGCAACAAATAGGCTAAAAATATGGCAAATTTTACACATAAACTGGATCCAGTGATAACGCAAAAAGTACTGGAAATATTTTTATGAAACTTGACATATGGGTAGATGGCAGTCTTGGAATTATGCACGTCTTTTTCTTTTCTTCCTATGTTGAAAATTCTGGTTGCTATGGCAACAAATAGGCTGAAAATATGGCAAATTTTACACATAAACTGGATCCAGTGATAACTCAAAAAGTACTGGAAATATTTTTATGAAACTTGACATATGGGTAGATAGCAGTGTTGAGATTATGCATGTCTTATCTGTTCTTCCTATTTTGAAAAAATATCAGTTGCCTTGGCAACAAATAGGCTTAAAACATGGCAAATATAACAATATTTGTGATTAGTCAAAAAGAGCTGAAATTTTTTATGAAATTGCATCTTTAATTCAAGAGTTATCTCCTCTTTAAGAATTTTGCTTTTAAAATGTTATATTTTGGTAACAGGGATGTTTCAAATATTAACTTTAGAGTGTCCTTTAGTCCGTCTGTCTGTCTGTTCATAAAAACTGTTTCCTGTGATCACTTTTAAAGAACTTTTCCAACAAGTTTACTAAAAATAGAGAAAAATTGAAACATAAGTGAATGGCCAATGGCCCTTCAGAATGTTGATGGGGTTCTAACCGGTAGGGGACTTATGGATTGCTTGCAATACTATGATAATTGCTTGTTTAATTTTATTCTGTGTAATAGTAGTTTTTAAGAAATTTGAATTTTGGTCAAAGTTGAAAATAATGTAACTTTACACTTTTAACTTAATTAATATCTTAAGTTTTTATTGACCTTTATTTAAAAAGATCATTATAAATTTAATTAATTAATTTTTGATCTGGGGTTTTAGCCAGAATTACTTCATATAGGTAAAAGTTGGATTTTCAGTAACTAACTAACTTGAATATTGCTACAAATAATAATGAAGTGTTACATTTAAAGTTTTGATTAATTTGTAAATATTGCCTTAGCTGAATTTTTGAATGACTTGAGCCTTGTTAAGTTGGGGTTTTAGTAAACTTTAAATTTTTATCAAAATTGAGGGTAAAGTCTTCTTTAATCAAGGTCAAAGTTGAAGGTTATAGATTAATTTAGAAGTGTATATGCTGGTGAAGTTGACGCCGGGAAGCTGTTCAATAAATTTATATTTTATTTTATTTTTCAGAAAGAATTAACCTTGCAGTTTATTCAGAGATGGTTGATAGTATTTTTCACCGGACTATTCACAGCATTTCTAGCAGCAGTTGTTCATATTGTTGTAGAGAAGATCAGTCATGTTAAATTCAGCTTGATTCAATCATGTATCCTTTATATCATTGCCAGTATAAAATTAGAAATTGTCCATGGGAAAGTTGTAGCAAGTCAAACTGGAAGAGCGAAACTTAAATGTTTTGTATGAATCTAATACAAGTTTTATCGTTTTGATTAGCCAATTAATGAGTGACAATCCAACTCCCCTTTGTGGCTCATGGGTTGCCTTTAAAGCAGCACGCCTCCAGATTCATGCTAATTTTCATGAAAATTTTGAAAATGTATCTGAATGTTTGATATTGTGAAGTAACCAAATGGAAACAATTTACACATTTTCAATGCCACATACAACCCGCTTAAATTACTAAATAGTGGTCAAAATATGCATAAATAGCCCTTACTGCGTTAGTAACGCAGTAGAAATATAGTTGTAAATACTGATAAATCAGTCATTAATCGCACAGAACCTTTAAAATATTACTTGAATCTTTCTTTTTACACTTCCTAAAATTTTAGTACATTTTTCTTAAGTTTGATTTTATTGAAATACTTTGACTCATCTGGAGGCATGTAGCTTTAAGGGTTGAGGCATCAGAAGTGCAGCCACTGTTTGAAAGAGGCGACTAATTGTGTTCCAATTACTTGAGTCTATGCATCTCATAGTACCAGCAGGTGAGGTGGTTTGATCCCTGGTATTGCTTTAAGTTTGTAACAACCAAGGCAAGCCAAAGTCATCCTGTTTCAGCACTATATGACCTAAATTGTGTTTGTGTGTTGTAAATCAAATTAAAACAAAAAGGCAAACAAACCAGAATAACTTCACCTGCTTACCTTTAATTCTTTCATATTAGGAAGTTTTATCTAGCTAAATTATGTGGTTTATGGTTCTGATATACCTATTTCATGATGATGAAGTTTATATGGGAACTTGCTATATAATTTCACCTACATCTGTGCATTACTAGGAATAAAAACCCTATATAATACATTGATGGTGCATAATTATCAAGTCTGTCTTAATAAGATATCTTTAAATTAATTGTATTAAGAAATTCTAAAATAGAAGTCTGTCTTTTAATTCCATGTGATAACAAAAGCACTATAGCATGTGCAAGTATAATATAACATCTTTTGAATCCAGAATAATTCCAATATCTGCATTATTCTATCATTTCATCTTTCCAATTTAAACTTTGATTTTCTACAAAATGCAAGACACAAATCTTAATTCAGGTCTCTTGTATTAGGACAAGAATTTTAATGGCATAGTTTTATATTTCCAATCTTTGATTTAATAAACCTTGATTATTAAAGAAAGCAGTCTGTTAAACAGTTCTATTTCTTAGAAGTTAAAATAGTTTTTTGTTAATTTGAGAAGAGTGAAAAAATTCCTCCCACTCGAAGAGATAACATATAATTATGAAACATTAAGATAGTGCTTCTTCAGATATTTTATTGGCCCTGAAGTTTAAGTTCAGTATTTATGTTGGCACCTTTTTCATCTAAATTGTTTGTGATTCTGAAATGTTCTGTAAGAACTAGGCCATATAATTGAATGGTTAAAGAAGCTTGTAGAAATTCATGAACTGTAGCAAAAAAGGTTGCTAGTGAAAAATTGATAAAGTTGGATTCTTTTTATGCCCCTAAATTTTCATTGCCAAATCAATAACTTGAGAATGAATAAGCTGTAATTTTTGTAACTTGGAAGGGATATTTACCATGGCCAGTAGAAAGAACCCTTTCTGATTTTGTGAGCAATAAGTAGGTCAAAAGTCAAGGTTATGGTGGCCTTGACCACAAAAAGCTTGTCCAACTAATAAAGAATGTTTGGTATATTGTCCTAAGCTTTAGTGAAGTGGTCATCAATAGCTTGGGAAGTAGATGAAACTTTGTAGGAGCATAGTACATGACCTGTAGGAGACCAGCCTATTGATTTTGAGGTCAAAGGATAAGGTCAAAGCAAATGAAGTAGGGGCATTTCATTTAGAGTTTACTTACATCTTTACACTTAGAAATCTAGAATTTTTAAAAGAAATTCTACCATTTTAGTGTTACCACTGCTTAGGCATTTCCATGTACATATGATCTAACATTGTCAAATGAATGAGTACTGCCTTAAACCTGTATGCATTCTGCTTGTACAAAGTAGGAAATAAGATTTTTAAGTGAATTTCAATTGCAAAGTTCCTATTATATTTGAGGAGACACCTTTTGGGAAGAATTTAGTTCAAGAAACTGATATGAAAAATTTGAGTGATGAAAGTTTAAAAATAGAATTTTATGCTTTCAAAAATCCATTACTACATCATGATAATGTTTATGAATGGAGTTTCTGTTACAGTGAAATTTCACACAGCAGCATAAAACAATGATGGCTTGATTAATTTAAAAGCAAACTATAATTTATGGTATCAGGCACAGAATTTTTTATCCAATTATTTTCATGACTTGCAATTATCAATGTTTATGAATGGTATTTGTCAGAAACAGTTTCAGGGAAAATCTTCCAGGGAAACTTGATTTATCTGCTTAATTTTAGTATGAATGAATGATTTCATCATCTAGCTTGTGGAACATTTGTGATTCTTAACTCAGGTGCCATTTTTTGTTTGAAATAATGCACAGAGGAGCACCTGAGTGAGGTCTACGTCCAGCCATATAACCTTATACTGTGTTGGTGCAATGTAAAATCCAACAAAAAACACAAAAAACATTTCAGTCAAAATTGCCTGCCTGATAAATAAAGGCTCTGCACTGATTTTACCTGAGTTTTACATTGGAATCATTATGAAATTATACTTTTGGTGAACATATAAACCAGCCATTGTCCCATGTGATTCTCTGTCTAATGGTGTATGAAAATAACAGTTACTCTATTTAAGTTTGCCTGTTTCTGTTCTTGATGAATAATGAATTTTGTGCAAGAAATATGTAAAAGCTTAATCTTTGAAATACTCCAAAACCATTCAATTGCTTTGTTTGAGTGAATTTTAGGTTAAAAATTTTAAGATGGAATTTTTATGGTGGGTAACAAAAACTGCTTACAGAAATAAAAAACATCAAAATATGTACACTATGATGAAAGATAAAAATATATTACTCTTAGTTTTCAAAAAAAATAATATTGATGGTAAGTTTTAATTGCTTTCATTATAGCATGCATTTTTATTAGCTCACTGAGCATTATGCTCAGGGTGAGCTATTAGGTCATCACTCTTCATCCGTCGTCTGTCGTCCGTCGTACGTCGTCCGTTGTCCGTTCACACTTTTCAAACGACATCTCCTCTGAAACCATAAGGCAGATCATAATGAAACTTCACAGGGATGTTCCTTGTGTGAAGCCTTAACAAAGTTGTTCAAAGAATTCCATTCCATGCAGAACTCTGGTTGCCATGGCAACCAAAAGAGAAAAACTTTAAACATCTTCTTCTAAAAAACCCAAAGAGCTAGAGTTTAGATATTAAGCATGAAACATTTTCTAGTAAGTGTCTACAAAGATTGTTCAAATAAAAGCCCTTGGGTCAAAACTGGCCCTGCCCCAGGTGTGTCATTGTTTTTAACTATATGTGTAAAGAAAAAAACTTGACCAGCTAGACCTTAGATGTTAAGCATGAAATATCTTCTAATGGGTGTCTACCAAGTTTGTTCAAATAAAAGCCCTTGGGTTTAAACTGGCCCCGCTCTGGGGGCCTATATACAGGTGAGCGACTTCAGGGCCATCATGGCCCTCTTGTTTTCTTATGAAATAATTGCAATTAAATGGATCTTGTTTTTCAGGAACCTATTGATTAATTATTTTTTGATAAATCTATAGCATCCTTTTTTGAATTGCTGACTTTCAATATACCGTATAAGTACTTTTTTCTGCGGGAACTTTATTTCTGCTATTTCTGCGGTTCGTCACGACACCGCAGATTTAAAAACCGCAGAAAATTAAGACTTTCTCGGCTTTGTTTATGTATAAATGTGTCGGAATTTCAGCTACAGGTAATGTCTAACTATATTACCTAATCATGTATCGTTATCGGCTTTTAACGACATAAGTAGATTTTTCTTTCTGTCATGAATAAAAAATTATAAAAAAAATCGTTACTTTGCTTGTTATTTTTGTTGAAATAAATTTCATGTTGGTATGATTTTCGCTCACTCTTAGCTTGAATTATTTGATATAATAAAATGACTATAGTATATGGAGGTTGAAGGTGCTAAACGAGTCGAAATCTCAGGCGTTGGAGACAAACGGCAATTCACTGCCGTATTTGCTGGTACACTGCAAGGTAAATCTAAATTTTCTCTGCCGAATATTTTATATAATTAAATGCTTGATAAAACTTATATTTTTATCACTGCAATTAAATATTAAAATTGTGTTAAAAATGTGTTCATGTGCAGTGTATATCGTTGTTTATACCGCTGTTTCAGTTTAAAATATATTTAACAACACCATTATCAAAAACGTGATAAAATGACCATTGTTTGAAATTATCATTAAAACCTGCAAATAACACGCTTTTATGTACCACTATGTTATGTGCGAATTTGCCATTGTGTATTTTTCACACTTACCTGAAAATGTCCACTCAAGCGAAATGATCGAATTTCTTTTATTCAAATTGTGTTTTTTTTTTCTTACAGGCAAATTTCTTCCGCCGCAAATAATCTTCACTGGTAAAACAACACGTTGTTTACCAAGCTATAAGTTCAAGTATTCATGTTGAAAGAGTCGAACATTTTTTCCATGGATTCTTTTCAATGTATATACATGCATAATTTATTTGTTGTGAAATATATATATAATGAATATAAGGACTATAATGAACCTATAAGATAGTAAAATACATGAATGCTTCAAATTTATAGACAAACAGTATTAAAATTGTTGTCATTGCATTTTGTTGTTCTTTTTTCTTAATAATTACGTAATACCGGTATATAGTGTATATACTGATACATGATGATTACAACGAAACACATTATCAGTCGTCTGCATTTTACCAGAAAGAATGACACATCAACAAATCTTGAAATGCCGTTTATTTTTATTGGTTAA